TAGTGTTTGCTGGCTTTAACTGGTCTGCTTCTCCTCGTAGGGTCCCCTGTGCCCTGTTGGACCTGGACCGGGTGGACCGGGCGGACCGGGCCCTGCTGGACCCATGGGCCCCTACAACCCGAACCCGTACCAGCCCGGACCCCCTGGTGGACCTCCACAGTTAGTACTACTTTAATGGGAAATCAGCTTCAGGGAAAGGGTTGATGTTTGGCTTTCCAGGTTTAGTTTGCACATGCTCACAGTGGTTCTCTCTGTGTGTCTCCAGCGGTGGTCCTCCTGGCGGTCAGTATCCTCAGGGCTGGGGAAACACGTACCAGCAGTGGCAGCCACATGATCCCAGTGAGTCTTTTTGTACTGACGCTTTCAGTGTTTGTGTGTCTTGATAGGATTCTAGCACGTAATGAAACTAATTGAGTGCCTTATGCTACTACAATCACATGTCTGTTCAAGTTCTCATGCTCAGGTCACATTGCATCTTAAAGTCATGGATTTTTTTTATTTTAACTTTAAATTATAGTAATAAATTTATTCCAATTTGTAAAATACACTAAATGCAGTTTGACAAGTACTACCATTATTATACAGGTATTTAAAAAAATACTTCTTATTTAATAATTTAATAATACTATTTAAAGTTGAGGTCAGTAGTTTTTTTTTTATGTTTTTGAAAGTGTCTTCTGCTCACCAAGCAGGGCTCCAGACAAAAAAAATTGAGTAAGGAGCCATTGGCTCCTATAAGAAAAAAACTTTGGCGCCAAATTATTTTTTTAGGTGCCACAGACGTATTTTAACATTTCAATCATACTGTCATGTGTTTGTCATCTTTTCTTGAATTTATCAGCATTTTAATCCATCTTGTCGATGACCTGGGAACTAAGGTTCACTTAAAGTGGGAACTAAACGTCTTTTCAACTTGAAATATACAGTCACAAAGAACTGTTTATTACACAGAATCTGTACCAATATCATGGACCATAAGCATCACTTGGCCATTGAGTGTACACTTAAGTAATTGCAATTTAATCAATTTAAGTTAGTCCAACCTAAAATAAAAAGTGAACACAACACATTTTCAAACTGTTATTTGCCAGTGTAACTCAGAATTGTCAAGTTCACTTAGTTAAGTAAATAAACTTCATGCATAAAGAAATAAGTTAAGGCAACAGGTTTCCTCAATTTTTTAAAAGCAAAGTCAACTGATCGCTTTTTACAGTGTAGTTTGGGCTCCTCAATGCATCCAATAGAAATGTTGTCATGTCTTTCAAGTCGGTTTTCGGTTTTTCTTCATTAGTAACATGCAATTTTATAGGGCGTGTTGTTGAATTTTATCTTTATTCTTGCATCCTAAATATAGAAAAATGCTCTTCTTTATATTAATTTTTCTAGCTGACTGATGAGCTTATGGACACCGAATGGTTATTCTGAGGTAAATGTGTTACGTGGCAATGTTTACAAGCTTTACAAGTTTTCCGCAGTTTGAAACACTGAATGAGCGATTGCATGAGACATTTCAGTAAGTTGTACTGTAGGCTCTTATAAAATTAGCCTACCTTTTGATGTTGATTCATGTTCATTTTGTACTAGTAGAGAAAGATATAATGGGTTCACTTGCTGCTTGAACTGAGGCGCTAAAGCGATCGCGCCTGTCGCATTAAAGAGCGCCAAAACCATATTTATTGTATTAATTTCGTTATGAATTTGAATTTGGCAGACTTTTAAAGCTGATACTTTGTTTATTAAAAAGTAACAAAGCACAAAGCTTTTTGCGATTACTGGACGGCAAGTGCGCTACAAATAGGCTAATATGAAGTTCACGCATTAACAGAACACAGCATAGACTAATATCTTGATAAGAAGCTTCGATGCACATCGTCTCAGTTTAACGCATTAACAGAACACAGCATATAGACTAATATCTTGATAAGAAGCCATATTAGTAATGATTATATACGAGAATTGTTAACGATATTGCCAATATCCACACAGCTGACAGCTTTATCTGTTGTAGTTTGTTCACGTTGTGCACGAAATAGACACTGCTTTTGTGCACTTTTACTTGCAGGTCTCCGTCATTTCGATCTCTCTCGAACTGCACAACTGAGCTGTGTTTAGCAGATGTGCGACAATGCTGCTGTGCTGCAGAGATGAGGACTGTTTGAAACTTTTTTGGTTTTCTCCACTAAAACTTTGATGTGCATCGTCTCAGTTTAATACGTGAACATAACAAAAGATATGATCGCAAAACAATCAGGAAAACATTAAGTCATAACATGCAAAATATATATAGCCGCCAGTGGCGACCTCAGCAAAAACTTCACTCGCAAATTAATATTTTTTAGTCACGGTCTGGAGCGCTGCATTGTATGGGTCAAAATGATAGATTTTTCTTTTATGCGAAAAATCATTAGGATATTAAGTAAAGATCATGTTCCATGAAGATATTTTGTAAATGTCCTACCGTAAATATATCTAAACTTAATTTTTGATTAGTAATATGCATTGCTAAGAACTTCATTTGGACAACTTTAA